TCTCTTAAGACAATAATACCTGAAATCAGGTCAGAGAACATTATGTAAAAGGGACTTACCCGGCCAAATGCAAACTTAATATAAACCAGACAAATGCAGATCTAATGAAAAGAGGAACTCCATAAATCAACACCAAATCTATAAAAGCAAGACCCTGCACAGCTACAGACTAACATCAGGGGGTCAAAAAATGGGAAAACCGGAAGAAAACATTAGATCTTCTACTTAAACTTACTTATCTCAGTTTAAAATTTATTTTCTATATATGTTTTATAACACGCATAACAGTACAGAAGTATGTGATTTATACAAATACATACAAGCTTGTGTAGACAGAAAGTGGTTGCTCAATTTTTTGTCACATAAATATTAGGAGATATAACTGACAACAAAAACTCCAGAATAATACAAAAACCCATTATTACAGTTTAGAATCCAAAAGTAATAAATACATCAGCATTCACAAGAAAGGCTAATTGGTGTCAACTAATAAGTGGCTAAAGAAAGGACCTCTTCCTACCCTTACTCTCCTTAGATGCTTTTAAAAAACAAAAACAGGGAACCAGCAGTTAGCGTAATGGCTATGTCGCTCACACCGGGCACGTGTGCGTGCGTGCCCAAGGTCCCAAGAGGAGAATGGAGGAGAAGGGATTGCGGTGTGACCATCCCCCCTGGGGGGTGATTTCTCGCTTTCTGTCTCTATGTCTCTCTCTGTCGAGCGCATACGCCCTATAGCGAAAAACCTCTCAAAAAAAAACAAACTCCGGACCAGCAGGTGGCATGGTGGTTAAGGCGCTGGACACTCCCACATGGCTGACCACTGTTCGAGACCTGGATCTGGTGGCTTGCTTTCTCGCCTTCATCTCTCTCTCTCCATATCTCTCGCTCTCTGATCAAATTAAAATAAAAATAAATGAGTGAATAAATAAAACAAAACAAAACAAAAAAACAACTTATCAAGCTTTAAGGCATCAGTTTTCAGTTTGGCTAAATCACTGGGGTCTGTCCAAGGTTCTCAAGTGACCAAAACATCTAATGGGGAAACTACTTGTGAAGCCACAGACCACTAATCAAGATCTTTTCATTCATTTTAAAAGAAACTAAAGTACTCTACTCTTCCAGGAAATAGTAAGTGTGAGAAAGCTACCAAGATTTCCAAAAGACACAACTTAAGCTTCTGTGATTCTAAGTGTCACTCAGTGGTGACACCAAGAGATGCTGGGTCCATTCGCGATATGAAATGGAACACTAATAACCTAACTTTGTCATTGTTTTTCAAAATGCTGCACCTATGCGTTCTTCCTCTCGGTGGCAGGGAGGGTATGAGATGGTAAGCGGACGGGCGAATAACGGCGTGGAAATCGAAAAAGTTTTAAACCGAAGGGATCGTATTATATTTACTAATTTTTAAAGCCTACTCAATTTTAAGGCTTCTCAACGGAGGCAAATGTTCTCATGCTTCTCTTAGGACAAAAAATTCGCCCCAGGGCGTAACCCCTCCTAGAAAAAGGGAGTGGAAGCATTTTTCTGGATGTCTGTATTCAAATACAAATAAACAAATGTGACACCATCTGCTAAAAGGGGAATCTCAGCTTTGGACAACCAACGGGAAAGCATCGAACCAGAGAAGAGGGTCCTGGGTCTCGCACGGGGCAAAGAGAAGGGACCTGACGTAATGTCGGTTTGATGAGAAACGGGGAATATTAACGGGAAGAAGGCACTTACACAACCCAGTGGAGCAGTGTGACGGGCAATACAACGCTGAAGAAGGGAACCGAAAGAAGACGACACAGCAGTAAAACCACAAAAAAAATTTTAAAAATTAGGGAAAGCGTAGTGGGGAAGGGACGCATGAAAGAGACAACTACAGTGGGAGCTGGGAAATGAAATGGAAAAGTCTGCAAGGAAAAGAAAGTGAGAGCCACCCTGCAGAATTCACTCCTCTCAAAAGTCCAACTCAGTCCTCCCTCCGCTTCACGGTACCTTCAGCTTATGAAGCTCCACCGTCTCCGTCGCCATCTTGTTACCACTCTACTGCACTAGGCCCCCCAGGCGCTGTCTCCGCCCCCAGGGGCTCCCGCCTAGGCGTAGAGAACCAAGGCCGACCAATCACTGTCACTCTTACTCACACCCTACACCATCAGCTTCCCTCATTAGTCAGTATTTGGCGTCGCCCTCCCTCCTACCAGCAACTTTCCCGAGCTCTCTCAAAAGGTGAGACGAGGTATGGGCGGGCCCTAACGCCTTCCGAGCGACAGAAATGGCAACCAATTGTGTGGACACACTGAAGACAGCAAACCAATGGGTGACGGCAGCGCTGATTCCGTTTCACCAATAAGGGAAGCGCAGGTGGTGGGGGTAGTACATCCTGGAGACGTAAGGTGCCGAAGCTTCTGCCGCGCCCCTCTCGGGACCGGTTTCTGAAGCTGACAGGTAAGGGCTGCCGACAACTGGGAAGGGTGACCGAGGATAAATAGCTGGAAGCCAAAGGGGCAGCGAGGAGATGGCGAGTTCAATGCCGACAGGGGAGAACTGGAGAGAGCCCTGAAAGGAACCGATGAACGAGAGGGAAGCTGGGCGGGGCACGTGGCGGGTTCTGCAGTAGAGCTTAGGGAATTTTAGGTGAGGGGTGGCAAGCCCGTCTTCCTAACAAGGCATCAGCAGCTTTAGAACCAGCATGATTTTAAAGAGCTGAAGCCAAGACTATCAGAGCCAAGGCGTAGGCTCTCCAAAAGTTTCAGTTTCGGCTAAAAAAGCCTGGTTTGTCCCAGGTTCTCAGGTGACCAAAACATCTCATGGGAAATCTCGGGTCCCTTCTTAGCCAGTCCAGAAGCGGTGAAACAGATTCTTGCACTGCCCCAGGCTTGCGAGGAATGGAGATGCTGGCTACTTAGATGACAAAGGGATGAGGCAGGGCCGACAAACCCGAGAAAAAAGTAGGAACTAGAAGTTGCTTTCCCTTTCATCCCTTAGTGGTTCCTCATTGATTCTCATGACTCTCCTCTAGAATTCTGGGTGTATGGGACCTCTTTATGATTCCTTATTAAGTGAGATACTCATTTTGCTTCTAGAAGTGTGTGCCCAAAGCCTAGTTTATTCCTTTATGTTACAATTGAAGTGTGTCAATAAAAATTATCAAGATATATCTCTCAAGTATAGGAAGGACTATTTCTTTTCTTTTTTGGGGGGGAGGGGAGGACTTTTAGTCTTACAGTTTTTCCATTCTGTATAATGAGTTTTCATTCCCAGTAAGAGTTCAGGGAATTTGGGCTGTTCCAGACAACTGGGGGAGCAAGCTCAAACAGGTTGAGAGGAAATTTGAGTTGGGACTCCCTCCTGATCCCCCATGATGGTAGGATGAATGTAGGGGTGGCGCACAGCGAAGTAAATCCCAACACACAAGTGATGAATAGCAGGGGCATCTGGCTGGCCTACATCATCTTGGTAGGACTGCTGCATGTGGTTCTACTCAGCATCCCATTCTTCAGCATTCCTGTTGTCTGGACCCTGACCAACGTCATCCATAACTTGGTGAGCTAAACCAAACCCCTGTACCCACAAAATATGAATGAAATTTATCAATTTGGGGGAAATTTCTGTCTTCCTTCTGGGATCTTGACAGAATTATTGTGCTTAAAGACAATTTTCTGTCCCTCATGCTGTTGCCTCCCCTCTTTCCAGGCAATGTATGTCTTCCTACATACAGTGAAAGGAACACCCTTTGAGACACCTGACCAAGGAAAAGCTCGACTACTGACACACTGGGAACAGATGGACTACGGACTCCAGTTTACCTCTTCCCGCAAGTTCCTCAGCATTTCTCCTATTGTACTGTGAGTCTCCGGGGGATAGGGGAGATGCTGGGTTAGAAACAGCTCCAAGAGCCTGGTAGAAAAGGTCCACGGGGAAGCTTTAAAAAAGTAGACTGCTGGGGCCAGCAGATGGCATGATGGTTATATTGCTCAGCTCCCATGTAGTTAGTCAACCCAGACCCAGTAAATTAAAACCTGCGCCGGGCATGTATGCATGAGTGCCCAAGATCCCAAGGGGAGAATGGAGAAGGGATTGCGGAGTGGCCATCCCCCGGGGTGGGGGGGATGATTTCTCACTTTCTGTCTCTCTGGCAAGCACACATGCCCTATGGCAAAAATCTCTTAAAAAAACAAAAATAGAATGCTGAGCCATCAGGTGGCATGGTGGTTAAGGCACTGGATTCTACATGGCCAACTCCACTGTTCAAGTCCTGGACCCAGCAGTCTGAAAAACACACTGGACACGTGTGTACATGCTCACACCCAAAATCCCTAGAGAAGGGAGTGTGCATGGCCATCCTCCCTGTGGAATGACTTCTCACCCTCTCCATGTGCATGCATGCCCAGAATACCAATAGTATGGAAAAATGGAGAAGGGATAATAGTGTGATTATGTCCCACTGGGGGAGTGTATTCTTATTCCTCTCTCTGGCAACATGTACTCTCTGGCAACTTTTTTAAAAAAAAGAAAAAGAGGGACCAGCAGTTAGCATAATGGCTATGTTGCTGGATTCTCATGTAGTCGACCGCGGTTCGAGTCCTGGACCCAGTGGCTTAAACTCATGCCAGGCATGTGTGCATGCGTGCCCAAGATCCCGAGAGGAAAATGGAGGAGAAGGGATTGTGGCATGGCCATCCCCCCAGAGGGTGATTTCTCTATTTGTCTGTCTGGCTCTGTCTTTCTGGAGAGCGCACACACCCTATAGCAAAAAACCTCTCCAAAAGAAAAAGAAAAAAAAGGCAGAATAACCATCTAAGACCCTTTGAAGATCTTATGATATACTGGTGAGCTCACAGAGAACAGTAAACATAAACAGATAGTAATCAAGCATTCCTTGTGGCCTCCTTGGTAATAGGGGAATGAAGAAAGGACTGAGAAAAATGAACCACCAGGTAAAACCAAATGATTTTACACTTCCAAAAGAAGTGAATAGATAAAGGCAGGACTGATGCTAATTTCTGAAAAGTAACTGTGGAAATTGGAGGCAAACAGGACACTGATAGCCATAGAGGTTGAAACAGCTTCAGCAGTCACTTCCAAATCATGAACAATTAGGAAATACAAACTGCAAGCTCCTCTTGAAGGTGCAATCTGATTATCTCAATCTTAAATACTGTTGATATAGATGGAATATTTTCAGATATCATAGGACTACATGTAATACCAGTTGTTTAAAAAAAAAAAAAAAAGAACATCATTACAAAGGCCTGAATGTAAATAGAAAGACCAGCCTCACTCATCCTTTTTTTCTCTCTCCCCAGCTACCTCCTGGCCAGCTTTTACACCAAGTATGATGCTGCTCACTTTCTTATCAACACAGCCTCATTGCTGAGCGTACTACTGCCTAAGCTGCCCCAACTCCATGGGGTTCGTCTCTTTGGCATCAACAAATATTGAGTAATGGGGCTGGAAGCAGCTCCACAGGCGTGGGGAAGGCACTGGAACAAAGGGCTAGACCATCCTTCCCTCTTTCTCATACCGTCTTCTGTATTTTGAAAGACTGAGAACTACACCACCTCTCCCATTCTCACGAGAGAAGAGACTAAAGAATAGAGTACTGGGGCCCAGTCCTACTAAGGGCAAATTTCTCTGAATCAGGAAAGGCAGGTGACATAAGGGCCAGATCACTCATCGTAGCGGAAACCATGTCTGGGTAACTTGTTTAGTGTATCTGAATCTTCTACCCATACCACCACCTTCCAGCTCTGTTTTACTGTGTATTTTCTTTACAATAAAGGTCATTTTTCAACTATGGCTGCAATGCAATCAGCAAGAAGGGCAGGGGAGAAGATGGAATACTAACTTACTGTACAAAACTTTAAGCAATTTATCCCCTCTCCTTTGGTCCAGTAAGAGCTGCCCTTCACTCTCAGCTAGCACTTAGGAAAAGTATTCTCAAATGAAAAAAAGGGCTCCGGCTATATGGGCAAAGAAGAGAGGGAAGATACAGGTTGCCAGTTATATATTTATAGAAAGATAATCCCCTGGCTTTAAATAGATATGTACATACAAATATGAACAAACTTAAAAAAATACAAACCCTTGGATCACAAAGGGGCTTCTATGAACCCCTTATCCTTCTCCCTCACCCAAGGGCAGAGGGTATGAGTCTTCTTTGTAAAAATTATTAATTTTGGCCATTCTTGCAGTAACAAGCCTGAAGTTGAGTGATTTACCCACAAGGTGAAAGTAAGAGGAAAAATTAAGAATTCCACTCTCTGAACTCTATGCATCTCCTATAATTAAGGCTACATGCTTTCTTTTTGTTCTTTTAACTAATATAACAGGTAGAGGAGGGGGTTCCCTCCTGAAATGGGTCAAGAAATAAGATAAACTCATAGTTTAAAAAGAGGAGGAAAGAAGTCATCTGCCCTAAAAGCAGATGAGAGGACAAAGGCATTTAGACACCAGGGAAATGCCCAGTTCCCATACCTCAAAGATATACTGTCCAGCCCAGGTCCAGGCCCTAGGTTCTTTGCTATGGCCACCCCTACTTCTTTGGTATTGTCAGAAGACAAGATTCCTGGGTGCTGGGTGAGGATGGAAAGTGATTCACGGGCTTCCTGCAAGTACTAAGTGAACAATGTAAGCTTACAGTTTTTCCCTTTTTAAAATACTTAAAAATAAACAAATCGGGCCCGGCAGGTGACATGGTGCTTAAAGGCGCTGGATTCCCGCATGGCTGACCATGGTTTGAGTCCCAGACCTGGTGGCTTGCTTTCTCACTTTT